ATTCTAGGAAAATGATTAGGTTTTAAATAAACGGAAAAAGAATTATCTAGATATTCAGGAACAAAGATCAAGTTACTAATAAGGAAAATAAAATTAGATTGTCATCAAACTTTTCCTCTGCCAAACTTCATGTCACCAGGCAATGGGTAAAAATATTTAAGAGACTTAAAGAAAAAAACCTGAGCCAAGGATTTTATCTCCAGACAAACTGTTTTTCAACTGTAAAGGCCACATGCAAACCGTCATGAACAGGCAAGAAATCAGAGAATATCGCCTCCATGAGCCTAAGTAGATTCCTAAGGAATTTACCAGAGAATAAGCTTCCAATAACCAAAATGACTAGAGAGACAAACAAGAAGGACGGAAGCAGCTGAGCAGATGTGACAAAGGTTTTCAGTCCTGATGTGGCAGCCTTACGGAAGCTGTGTCAGCGAGGCAGGAAGACCTACTTCTCAAGGGCTTACGCGGAAAGAAAGAAATCCAAACCTGGAAACGACCTTGAACCGCTCCAGATAACATCCTGTCTTCTTCGCTTGGGTGATACTCTGGGCAACCTGTCTGGATACCTTGGCTTTTCCCAAAACAACAATTAGCTAACCCATTGTCCAAATAAAGTAATTTCCATTACAATCCAACCCAGAAAGGATAAGCTGATAACGTAAGATTCACACTCTGGGGCTGAGGATTTTGAACTCCCAGGACGGCAGTGAGGACGAGGAGAGCTGGTGTCAGCGGTTCACCCTCTCCCACCTCACACCCATAAGCAGGCCTCTGTCTGACAGCCTCAGAGGAGAGCTTTAACATGGTGTGGCCCATAGCCCCAAACTACTGTATCTTTAAGAACATCAGAAGAAAGATTTTGCCTTCTAACTGAAGGATTTGTATTTCAATTATGAAAGTTATGAGATAAGTATTCAATGGGAAAATAAGTGTGAATAAGATTGTAAGGTGATCTCTGTGACTGGGTGTAGACAGACTGGAATACTCCCATGCTGTAGATGATGTAGGAACAGAAATATGCAGGACAACTAGGTACATATCTCATATTTAATCAGTCAAAGATGTCTTTCATTTTGAGATGTGTTATTATTTTATGTATCCCCAATAAAGTAAGCCTCCTGCCAACTACCAATAATGGAAAAAAATGAGATTTCTATGGCAAATTGAAATTGCATTATAGAACTTACCTTCTTAGAACACCTAATAAAATAAGCAAAAGAAAAAAGCAATAAAAATTAGCCAAAAAATAATAAAGTTACCAGCATAAACTGAAGCAAAAAGAAACTTAATATAGGCAGCCAGAAGGTTTTGCTTTCAATTGTGGTGGATTGGCTCATACCTAGCCTCCATAGCTGATAACAATCATAAACTCTGCCCAAAATATAAACAAAAAACTATCTGAAGACATTAGAGAGCAACCAACATAAACTGGAGTCAACCCTCAGAAAAATGGAGCAACGTTCACTGAATTTCCTCTTCTTTGGCCTTTTGCCTGAGGGAAGGCCTCAGCTGGAATCATACTAAGTGGCTAGTATATTGGATGTAAACCCAATATTGGCTTTAGGAATCAGCAAACAGAGTTTAGGACTACCACAGCAGCTGGAAAGTCATGAGGGAAAGCCCCAAAAGAAAGGCAGAGAGGAGCATCTCCAAAGCCTCTGGACAAATTTGCAGAAATCTCTGGCTAAGGCCTGGACTACAGATGAGCAGAGCAGACAATAAGAAGCCCAGCTAAGGCTAAAACAGCAGAACAAAGATTTCAGATGTTAACCTCCTCAGTGAAGACAAAGATCAGAGTTTGAGCACAGACAAGTAAACTGGCTGCTAAAACAAAAACGGAAGTTCTTCAGAGAGGCATAACAGAATCCCTAGTCTCTCCAACGCAAAATGTACTATATATAGGATAAATTCCAAAATTACTAGATATAGGAAAAAACCCAGGAAACTGTGATCCATATTCATGAAAAAAAGGTAATCAGTAAAGATCAACCCCTTAAATGACCTAGAGGTTGGACTTAGCAGATAAAGATTTTAAAGTACTTTAAAATTCAAAAATAAATGTTTGAGAATATAAAGGAAAGTAAACTACTAATGAATGAACAGATAGGAAATCTCAGCAGACAACAGAAACTGTAGCACTGTAGTCTGTGTTTGTAGTGTATGTAAAAGTATGATACGTGACAGCAATGTACAAAAGACAGGAGAGGAGAATTGGAAAAATACCATTGTAAAGTTCTTACACTTCATGTGAATTAGTAAAAATTATTTGAAGGTAGATTCTGATTAATTACATGTATAATGAAATAAAATGTTGAATTAATAAAAATTTCTTAAAATTATGTAAACTCTACAGCAAAAAAGTTGGGGAGTGGAGGTAGGTGGACAGAGAAGGAAGGAGTGGAGTGTCATGCAAAAAGGCAAAGATACCACTTTGGAAGACAATGTGATCAAGGTATAAAATTACATTACATAATACCTTAATAAGAACATAAATTCAATAAAACAAGAACTCAATAACAAGATGATGAGTCAACAAAATGAGATGGAAAACAATATGGCAGACCACTGGGAACACCATTATAGAAGCAATGAAGTAAACATAGCAAGGAATAGGATCAATCTTGCTGACAATCAAATAACATGTACAGATAGAAGACCTAAAATGATCATTCTGAATACAGAAGAAAAGGACAAAGAGAATAAAGCACCTGGAGACAATTTAATTGCTATAGAAGACAAGGACAATCCAACATAAGGATAATTTGTATCACCAAAGTTAAAAATCTGAAAACTGGAACAGAAGATTTATTCAAAGATATGTAATGTTACTAAAAACAAGCGAACAAAACCTTGAAGAAAGAATTTAATTTTCAGATTGAAAATATACTGTGTTCTGGAAAACTGATGCAGAAAGCTCAACACCAAGACGTATCCTAGCTATGTCACTGAAATTCAGGGACAGATAATTCCTTAGGCAATTAGCTAGAAAAAGCAAATCACCAATAAGGGAGAAAATTAGGCAAGCCTCAGACTTCTCCACAGACTCAGTACAGATGGCAAAGGATCCAAGTCTATGATGTTCTGAAGGAGAAAAGTGTGACTCGTGGAATTGTGTGCAGCCAAAAAAGAAACATTTTCTTCAGCTTCATTTCAAAGTCTGTTCTTCTGATGCCATATCTATGTATGGAAAGACGCCAGGAATAACGCTGACGGTGGCTATTTCTGGGTGGTAGAACTCTTTTGATTGGTTACTTCAATCTTTTTCCTCGTCTGCATCAGCGCCCGCCTCACAGGGCTGTGGGGACATGAGGAAACGGAAGAAGAACGTGCCGAGCCTAGTGCCTGGCATGGAATAAACATTCAATCAATGGGGTCGATTCTTATGGTTGTCACCTCAGGTATATAAACTTATTTGTGATGAAAATCTTCTATGATCAGGCTAGATACCATCTTATATCCCACTGGGGCCAAAAGCATAGCTCACGCTTCAGCCAAACACGTTCCCCTCAAGGGCCCTCGGACTAGAATGCTCTCATCCCCTCGGTGTTTGTCACACACACCCTGTGAGCTCTGCTCTAGCAAAAGTGCCTCCTAGCTCTTAACCAGCCAGCCCTGCTCTTCCTGTGAACACCCCACGACACCTTGTTCTTCTCTTACAGGTCTCTAAATAGATGTTTTGGAGGTGAACAACTCAGATCTCGACTCCACCACACACTAGCTATGTGACACAGGGAAATCCATTTAGCACCCTTGAATCAAGGTTTCTCATCTGAAAAAGCAAGATAATAATACCTGCTCCACAAAGCTGCTGAGAGAAATGAAATTAAAGTTAAGGTTTACAAAGTGTCGAGAGAAAACACAATAAACAGATGCTTTTATTATTATTTGTTCTTTACGTGACCTATTTTATGTCTTACCTGCCCTATTTTTTAAAATACACACACACACACACACACACACACACTTCTTAGAGACAGAGTACGTTACTTGGCTTGTATGCAGTGAAGGGCCTAGTAGTCCAGGGACTTGCACATGAATTAACAAAACATAAGGGATGAAAGGGTCCTTAGAAGATCATCTCGTCTAGGAATTCCCAAAATTTGGGAGGCTTTAAAAAGTAGAGTCCCCGAGTCTGCTATAAGCAGTCTTGATTAGTGAACCTGAGCTGAAATCTGAGAATTTTCATTTTTAGACTTGTTAAGGAGGCAGATCTGACAGTCATAGAAGGTTCTCCATGAATATGTGTTGCACTGAATTAAGTAGAAACCAGACACAGACAACCCGTCTTGAATGAGCCAGTCACAGGTGGTTAATCTCCGAGGCTAGACACCGCTCGCCTCAAAGGACCACAGGCCCGGAAGGGGGGATCTCCAGGTGTGCTCTTCATACGTCCATGCTCAAGGACGTGGACGCTGCTCTCCCCAAAACCAGCCAACAGGTGGACAACTCTGGGCGCTCTGCCGAGGAGGCTGGGATCAAGGCCATCAGTGCAAGGAAAAACGTTCCTTCTCAAGGTTACGTGCCTGCAGAAGCCCAGCTCCACATGGCTAATATAACTGTATCAACTACTCGACTATTGCTCTTTAACACTAAGATTCTTCCCATCATTAAAGAAATGACACAATTATTAAAAATTTCTGAAAATACAGGAGCAGCAGAAAGAAGAACAAAACAACCTTCAGAGACACATCACTTGAAGACGAATTTCTTTCCAATCAGTTTCTGATATTCCACGTACATTTTTCATGTTCTCATTAACTCTGTGGAAATCACTGCTCCTGGCTGCACATTTCACCCGTGTGGATACGCTGTGACTCGCTTAACCCTTTTCCTGTTGCTAGACGTTTATGTTATTCTTAAGAATAATGGTACCAGGACTATCTTTGTGGATAATGCTTTCTCCATTTTTGAAAGTATTTCCTCAGCACAGATTTACAGAAGAGGAATTACCATGCCGAAGGATCCTGCAATCTTGAGCAATATGCTGTAAAAACACTTACCTTGATCTCCCATATGATACCTAAGGTTCAAGGCATTATTTACACTGAGGTTCTTCAAAAAAGCATTATAATCCACTGCAGTATCTGTATCAATGTTGTAGTGCTTTGCGAACCTAAAATGGAAATATTCTTTAGTAATCAGAACCCATGATACAGAGACCCGACAATGAAGCAAGCTCGTTACTAAGGTCTCCTTTGCACTGGGGTCGGCATTAATTTTAATGTGTGTTTCTAGTTAGAGCTGGAATTGAAAAGTAGACCCTAGGAATGTTACCGTAAGATTATAAAATGCAGCCCCTTGGAAGAAGATCACTTTACTTGGCCTACGGATAGATGCATAGATGGATGCCTGCAGATTCCAACGGGACAGGAACCCCTCAGGAGCCGCCCAGGGAGTGCCCCGGCCTGCAGCATCTTCTCCTTTCTCTGGCGGGGGGAGGGGGCGGCCAAGGCTTAGGCTGCTTGGGAGCCACCTCTGCCCTCAGACAGCAAAAGCAGGTCCTACTGCCCTTTAAGAACTGGGGGGCATGGATCTGAGCCACGAGTCAGTTAGCCTACAATTTCTATAACCAGAGAAATCGAGAGCTGGGTGGAGTGGAGAACACAGCCCATCTTCTTGACCAAGTGTACCATCGCACAGAGGGAAACTGAGGCCCCAGATGGAACGCCCTTTCAAGGCAGTGAATGGCAGTGGGGGCAAAGCGTTTCTGGGATCATTCTATGATTTCTATATATAAAGAGAAAATTTTAAAACACTTAACCAATGTCTCTCCCTGAAATATACTGAGATACTCTTTTTTTAAAGTTAAGATAAATAGGATGTTTGGATTTTTTTTCCTTTTAAAGTGAATTTTCTATTATTCAAATCTGCCACTTGATAAATGGTTTTCTAGATAATTTCTGCATTATTACATTTATAAAAAATTGACAGTTTTTAAATGTTTGGTTATATTATCTCCATATGTGTTCGTTTCTATAATTATCTAATTTCATGCAGCTTTCTAAAAATTTAGTAATTATCACTTAAAGTATTTGTTATTTTTCTGTTTTCCAAATTTAACAAAGAGTAATGTCATGTATTCATTTCAATGCATACCTTTTTTTTCCACTTTGATGAATCTTGCCTATTGTTCTAATAAGAAAAATTATCTTGAGATATGATAGCTGCCAGATGTTAATACTGAAACTCCCCAAATAGCTCCATTTTTCATCCATAGTCTCTGTCTTGTGAAAATAAGGCCGTCGGCTCAGGAACCCAGAAGGTGGCACCTAACGTGCCCCCTTTCAAGTTGCCGACCTCTAGAAAGCGCTGGCAACTCTGCCGCTCCAGGAAGATGTCGGGATACTGATAAAAATCTCACCACCAACCTTCCTGTTTTCTGTGAAAATCCAGCATTCCTTCAAACTTGTATTTGCTCAGAAGAGAATCCTGACCTTCCCTAATGCCCAGCCCATCCACATTCATTAACCTGCTGCATCTTCACTGAGGACAGACAGACAGGATCCCGCGGTGATATTTCCTACAGATAAAATTTCAGACATGAAGCCTCAGTTCTACCCAAGGATGCAGCATCTCAAACGGCTTTTGACAAGGATAAAGGCATGGGAGACAGACTGTCCCTAACCTGAAACCACCAAGGCCGTTCTCCCAGGGACCTGAACGCTGAGCAGGACTCACACGTCCGCAGAGACCTACAGGCAGGTGGGTCACGTGGGAAGGCCGACTTCAGGGGTGAAGGGAATGACGCCAACTGGACATAACTGCCTCCAGCGTCACCGCCTGGAACTGTGCCTCGGGCTTCACTCATCTGCTCAGGCAGCAGGCTGACCTCTAGTGAGTGAGTTTGTTTTCCAGGCCGCTCAGAAATTATTTACCTGGATTCAAATACTTTGGCCTGCAGGGCAATGGCGGATAGGGTGGTGGGAGATGGGAAAGAAAGAACAAAACCCAACGGGCCTCAGGATTGTCTGACTAAGTATAAAATTTGGTGATGATTTTCTCTCTTGCCTCTTGTTTACATAGGCTGGATGGTATTCTGAAGCTTAAAGAGAACTGTTTTTTAAAGAGTAAAGGGCATCTGTGGAATCTTTACGATTATGATAGAGTCACTGAGAATCAAGCACCTACTGTGTGCCAGGTGCATCGCAGGCCCACTTTGTGCGTTACATGGAATCGTCATGCCAGCCCTGCAAGGTGGGCTCCTCAGTCTCCACTTCCTTAGAAGAAAACTGAGTCTCAGAGAGGCCAGGAGCTTCCCAAGGCCCTGGAACAAGGGCAGAGGTCAGACCCGCCCCCAGCGTGCCTGACTTCAAAGCCAAGGCCATTCGGACCACACCGGCCCATAGGCTGATATTAAACAGAAAGCTGTCAAAGGAAAAAAAGGATTCAAAAATGCATTGTGTTTCCTGCTCAAAAACTAAAAAGGCAAAGTTAATGCTGAAGCAGCTTCTCAAGGAAAGAGTCTGTTCCTGAGCTTCAATAAGAAGAGCATTAAAGCAATTGAAGAAATGGGCTACTTTTGATCTTCCGCGTTTCTAATCTAAAGGAAAGCAATTCTATTATGTTAAGTTTCTCAAGCCTTATCGTGAAAACAGCATTGTTTTTGAGGCTTAAAAAATATCTCAAATAAAAATTTGTGGAGTTCTTTATTATTCAATACTTACGAGATGGGGAAACAGACAGTAACATTTTTTTATAGATTTACTAGGTTGGAGACTGCAGTGCCAAACACAAGGTTTATTGTCAAATAAAACACTGTTTTGTGTTTTGATTGCCTGTTTCAGAAGAGTGCTGATTCTGTTCTATAATTGCGCGCACAAAATTATTTAATTTGTTTTGTTTGGATCCTATTCTGGACACTTTCCCAGGCGGAAAGATGTAAAAATTAAAACATCTATTATGTCTTTTATATTCTGAGGTGGGTTATAAAGAGGAAAAAAGAAGAAAATATTCAAAAGATGGGGAAATATCCATTTTTTTAAAAGTCTCCTTTGCTTTTCTCCATGACACTGTCACATGCCCTTTTGACTTCCTTGCTATAAGAGCAAATTCCTCCACTTCCAATGGAAGCACCTCTGTCTTTATCAGACTATGTAAGCAACCACGGCAACCCATTTTAATGGCAATTTATAACTGCAGTGCAACGTGAAACTCTCAGGCTCAGAGTGAAACAATAAGGCTTGGTACTTTTGTTAATGGCCTGGAGGATTTTTTAAAAAATGGGAAAAGGCAGGAAGAGGAAGAGCACTTCTTGGCTGAGGACTGAGTCCTCTCTAAAGCAAAACACAGCCCCCCTTCTCATGGCTTCCATTCAAAACACAAGTAGCCACAGAAGCTAAGCATTTGGCTTCTTCTAAATGATCTGGAGTTTATTGGAGGCTCAAAAAAATGTCCATGCAGGCTTCCACATGCTGCCCTCGAGTCAGGAGCAGGTGGCAGCAGCTTTCAAACGCCAAGAAGCAGCTAACATTCAGTTATTCAGTGGCCCCCCCGCCGCAGCGCTCCCCCACCTCAGCAACAACAGTCCTCAAAGGAGAATCAAGCTTCTGTTATTACATCAGCATGGAGAGCCCATGGGGAGCATATCAGCTAATGGATGCATCCTGAAATGTTTCATTCTTCTCCTAACCCCAGGCTGTGAGTCAAAGTCAATTGTGAACTGGAAACGCAAGGGACAGAGGGCGTGTGCCAACCAGGAAAAGAGAGACAACTGGTGATGGATTACTTAAATAATCGAGATGTGTTCAAGTCTGCAGGCCAGATGATACTCACCCTAGGGTTCTTAAGGAATTAGAACCATTAGCTCTCGTTTTTGAGAACTCATGAAGAGCATCACAAATGTGGGAGAAATGCCGAATGAGTGCCTCTTTTAAAAACAGTCGAGACAGAGAAGGCAGGAAGGAGGATGACGCATGGATCCAAGGAACCCGACAGGTCCCGTTCTGAACCTGGTTTACAGTTCTCCGGAGCAGCCTCTCACCATACCTTCGTTTACTTACTTTTTGTATTCATCATCTTTCATCTTCAAACAGAAGGTCTCCAGAACCCTCCTCAGCTCACGTGCTTGGACCAGACCAGTCTTGTTAACATCAATGAGCTTGAGGGCTTTCATAACAGTTTTAATGTTTTTGAAAATCTGTGTATAAAAGTGATTTAGGAAAAGTCAAAAGATCCAGTGTCGAAAATCAAAATGGTAATAAAAAATGTGAAAGTTTTTAAAGGCTTCTTGTAGAATAAAATGTTTTCAGAGACTCACAGTCGTAGGATTGCAAAATGACATGTCTATGGAAAAAAGAACACTTTGCATTTATTGAATGTTTTCAAGGCAATTTTCTCTGTAAATGGTCTTAGTAAGTTTAAAAAAAGAATTCTTTCTGGTGTAAAGCAATAGGTCTCAGACACAATTCATTCCCTTTTAAGCCAGAGGAAAAATCTTTTTGTTTAATTGATACTTAAAAACTATAGTTCTGGCTTAGCTGGACTTGTACAATTTTTATTTTTCATAGCCATATGCAAACTATTTTTACTAGGAGCTGAAAAGCATGACTGCATATTTCAACCCCTCTGAATTTTTTAAAGATATTACAGAAAAGTTTTATAGAGATCTTCCCCAAATCCTGCCAATGCATATTTATTGGGCTCACAGACGTGAACGGCATTTGGCTAGGCCCTGTGGGGACGCAGAGAGCCCGAGCTGTGCGCTTGCCTTTAAACGACTTATATTTAGAGGGCAGAAACACGCCCTGGGCTCCCGTGTGCCGAGCCCCGAGCTGTGTGATTGGGTGCTCCTGACCCCCAGGAAGAAAGCACCATTCCCCATGTTTAGGGTCAGGGAGACGATGCGAGTCACCCAACATCACCCAGCTGGACGAGGATGACGCTGGGATTCAAACTCAGGTCAGTCCTTTAAGCACACAGCCCCGCAGAGAAGACAAGACATGCAAACAAATATTCACCCAAGTGGGAACAAGAGCCAAACAACAGAGACAAACGAGGAGCTGCGGCCTTCACAGGAGGGAACAGGCCCTTGCAGCCTCAGCCATCTGGGGGGCTTCCTGCAGGAGGTGGCCTCTGAGCCAGGAGAGGCAGCTGGGGTCCGACCTCCCGCTCTGAGGGGAGGACAGGAGGGATTGTGCGGGCAGGATACGAAGCCAAAGATGGGATAGCGGATGAAGAGTGATGAGCGTCAGGTATGACTGGATCCAGAAGGCCTGCTTCTACCGCCCGTACTGGACGAACCCACGTCCAGCCCAGATTCTGAGTGCACCTCGGGGAGCGAGTTGAGCGGAACTCTAGGACAAACAGGCTCGCTCCCTTTATATCAACACGCCTCCTTCTTCAGTGTGTTCTCTGACCAGTCCCTTCGCTGTCTCAGGCTGACTAAAGTCCACTGCCCCACCAGGAACCCTCGCAGCCGGCTTCTGGGTGGCTGTTCGGCTCACGCTTGAAGAACCACTGAGCTGGTGGGAGGATGGCCTCCTCCACACAGCTGCTTCCCTTCTCCCTGGCTCCTCCTGGCTGTGTTGTCTGGAAACCCTCTTGTGCCCGCTCATGCCCGGGGGCCCTCAGCCCCGGCACGCCTGTCCTGCCTCCAGCACCCGCGTGGTGCTCACGCAGACAACCTGACACCCCGTCTCTTGGCTCCTGGTCCTTCTCCCCTCCAGAGGGAACGGCTCCCTGCTCACACCCAGCACCTTGTTATACCCATACCTGCCACTCTCCAAAATCAAGCCCCACTCCAACCACCCCTCCACCCTCCTAGCTCCCTCCCTTGAGTGCCAAACCCCACAACCTTCTCTCCACCCGGCCCCACCTGCTGTTCTGGCTCCTTCTCTCTCTCCACTCCCCCTCCTCCCCACTACCCCCTAACCAGTCCATCTTCATAGTCACCCTGCATGTGTGCTGAGCCCCCGCCGCCCTCTTCCTTCACCCTCTCTCCGCAGACTCACCCTGGTTAAAGCCGACTCACTGCCCAGTCCGAGCACCTGATGAGGCTGGAGAGGGCGGGCCGTGGCGCACCTTCCTGGCTCCCCTCACTGGAGACCACCTGGCCCGGAGCAGGGGTGCACGTGGGAATCCCTCCCCAGGATCCACTCCCCACCCCCGTCCAGACAGCCGCTCCGCCTTCTCCAGTCCCCCACCTCCCTTCGCAGCTTCCTTCCTCATCTCCATCGGATAACCTGCTCCGCATTTATGGAGAAAACAGAGCAACTAGAAGACCACGTCCCCATGCTCCCCCGACATCTACAGTCTGTCTGACTCGATACCCACGCGATCGGCCTCCCCTCCTGTTCCGTGAGGCCACCCAGGTCACCCAGGTGACCCTGTCCCCTCTCGCCCACGTGAGGAATTGCTCCTGCACATGTTTCCTTGCTCCAGGTTGGTCCCCATTACAACGAGCCATCTGAGAAACGATTCCTCCCTCCCTGCCTCTCCTCTTCTTCCAGCCACTTCTTCCCTTTTGCAGAGATCCCCTCTCAAGAGCCATCGGTGCTTTCTATCTCCAAGGTGTCCCTCCCCGCTCATCAGTTTTGTCCCCACCACTCTGCAGAAACATCCCTGTCAGGGTGACCAACGGCCACTCGGTCCTCACGCGCTGCCCCGCGGCAGCCTTCCACACAGCTCACTGCTCCTCCTTCCTCGAAGCACGCTTCCCACCTGGCTTCCACACCCCACTCTCCTGGGTCTCCTCCGCCTTTCTTCCTTCTTCTGGTCTCCCTGCCTACTTGTTCCTCAATTCCCCAACCTCTGAACTCTGGGCTGCCTTACGACTCGGTCCTCGGGTCTCTGCTCCTCTGACCGCACTTACTCCTGGTGGTCCAGTCCTGTGGCTTTAATGCCCAGCTGACTCTCAGATGTCTGTCTCCAGCCCTGGCCTCTCCTCTGAGCCCAGGTTAGGACAGCCAGCTGCCTGGATGACGTCCACCTTGAGAGTCTAACAGACACCCCAGGTTTCCCAAACCCAACTGGCTCCTCCCACCATCTCCCCATCCCAATATGTCGCAGATCCACTCTGCCAGATTCTGTTCTTCTCACGTCCCACATCCAGGCCATGAGGAGAGCCTGGCAGCTCTCCCTTCATATGCTTCCAGAATCCAGCCACATCTCACCCCCCCACCTCACACCCTACGGGGTGGTGTAATGGCGTTCCACTTGGTCTCCAGCGGTCACTCGTGCCCCCACAGTGAGTCCTCCACACAGCAGCACCAAGGCATTCTGTTCAGGTCTGGGCACACCCTCCTCTGCTCCCAGCCCACCCAGAGTCAAAGGCAAAGGCCCCACAGCCTGGTTGCCAGCAGCCCCCGCCCCCCACGCCCTCACCCGGCCCCTGGCTCATTGCTTTCTGGCCACAGCAGACTCTGTGCCGCTCCTCACGAGTGCCAGGCTCCTCCTGCTTCAAGGAGTTTGCTTTTGCTGTTCTGCCTGGAACATTCCCCCCAGATCCCCACTGGCTCACTCCCTCACTTCATTCAGGCCTTGGCCCAAATGCCATCTTATCAGAAAGGCCTCCTGACCGTGTGTGTAAGTCAGGACCCACCCACTCTCATCTTCGTCAAAGCACTTCTCTAAGGTAACATTGGCTCTGCTGTCTGTCTCTCCCTCCGGTGGGTCCGCTCCCTGGGAGCGGGGTTCTGCCCGCTGCTTCACCCGGCTCTGCGACAGCAGCTGCAGGGTGTATGTGCCCAGGAAGCACCTGTCTGAGTGAACAAAAGGTCTTCTTGTCACCTGCTTGGAAAAAAGCCATACTCTGAGGAAGCCTTGTTATACGTCGGCAAAGACCTCCCCAGGGCCGATCCTGAATGTAATGACGATGACAGTCAGCACCAAGGTAATAAGGATCACAGCAACAAGATAACTGAACAAATATTAACTGAATGTCTGTTACGTGCAAAGCCCTGTGCTAAATTCTATACACATCTCCCACTTCTTACAACTGGAGGGCATTGGCTGACACAATCTTAATATCCAAAACTGGGAATACCAAACGTGGAAGGGCGGGAACAGCCTCAGGTGGGGTGAAAGCTGCTCGTGGGTGTCCGCCGTCAGCCTGAGCGCTCTATCTGAAAGAACAGAGCCCCAGCCATGGGGAGACTTGTTCCCATGGCCATATAAATATCTCAGCACCTTTTCTGCTGCCAAATCCCGATTCACCTCTTCGGGTAAAACGGAGGACAGGAGGCGATGCGCTTTTTTAAAACCCCAAAGCAACCCATATGGATCTCCAGCGTGGAAAGCCGGCAAGCAGCAGATCTGGCACAGAACTCACACCCACCAGAGGTATGTCTCCAAGTTTCTTATCATTTGTCAGACTGAAGTTTGGCAAGATCTGAATAGAGCTGCAGATGGTGAGGCTTATCAAAGGCAACATAGTTAGGGCCGTGGTCTGCGAGACTTGTCCCGGACATGACAGGCGAGAAGAAAAAGGTACGAAGGAATAAAGCGGCTGGGGTCACAACAGTGACCGTGCCCCTGCCCGCCCCATTTCCCTGCTCCCCGAGAAGGGTAGAAGAGGGCAGGAGAGGAAAAGGTAAAGAAAATGGAATTAGGTGTGGGCAGCATCCAGGTCTTTTCCAGCAGGCCAGACATCTGCCTGTTTAGTAGACCTGGGACAAGTCTGCATCGAGAGCCGACTGTCTCCGAGCCCCCTGCTCACGCGCCACGCCAGCTCCGACTCTCACAGGCACGCCTCCATGGTCCCGGGCCCCAGCCACACTGAACTGCTTCAGTTCACAAGCACGCCAGGCTCTGCTCCCGCAGGCTGCAAAGTCCTCACCGAGGCCGAAGCTCCAGGCCATCTGACCCCACTCTCCCCCCCTCACTGTGCTCCAGCTATGCGGGCCTCCATGTTCTTTCTCACACACGCTGAGCACACTCATCCTTTGAGACTTTTGCACGTCTGGTCTCCTCGGCTGGACGCCTCCCTCCTGGCTTTCATTCAGGTCTCAGTCCCAGGCCACCTGCTCACAGAGGCCCTCCTGCATGGCCTGCACAAAAGCGCACCCTCGTCCCTTTCTGCCCACTTGCTTCATTTTCCTTCTTTGCATCCATCCACACCTGGACCATTTCATGTCTCTTTCTATATATGCTCATTGCCTTTCTTCCTCCATCGAAATGGAAACTCCATGGAGGGGACTT